CTTCTCTTCTCCAGGGGAACCCCCCAGCTCTCCCAGCCTGGCTCCAGAGCAGAGGGGCTCCAGCCCTGGCAGCAGCTCCGGGGCCTCCTCTGGACTCTCTCCAGCAGCTCCACGTCCTCCTGCTGCTGTTCCCAGGGCTGGAGCAGCTCTGCAGGGGGGTCTCTGCTGAGGGGGCAGAGGGGCAGAATCCCCCCCTGCCCTGCTGCCCACGATCCCTGTGGGATCAGCCCAGGGCACGGGGGGTTCTGGGCTGGGTCATGTCCAGCCTCTCAGCCACCAACACCCCAAGTCCTTCTCCTCAGGCCACCCCCAGGCTGTGCTAATCCATGGTCACTCCATAGACTCCACATCCATCCGGCCTCATCCCACCCCTCCTGCCAGCAGCGCTCCCTTGGAAGGGGCAGGATCTGTCCCACATCCCTTCCTGCCCCAACGCTGCACATCCTTGTTGGAAACCAACTCTGTGGGATCCTTTGGAACCAAGACACAGAACAGACCAGTTGAGTGACCAACACTTTGACTATTCTTTGGCTGCCTCACTGGAAGAGCCTCTTCTCTGGCCTTCAGGAACCCAGACCTGGCCTGTTCACCCCGAACCCACCCGGCTCAGGACACCATTGTCACCTGCAAAGGTCCCACAGCAACACCTCCTCCACATTCCTCCAAGCCCAGTCCCTAAAGCACCAACTGATCCACGTTCCATCCCTTAAATCCAGCCTCTGCCGGGGGAGCAGCCGAAATCTCCCCGTCCCGAGTGACACAGCCGCCACCACCCGCCTGGGACAGGCCACACGTCCCAAAACACCTCATGGGAGACAAGAGCCCCGTGACCAGGTTGGCCCCGGAGACGCCGTGGCCGCGCTCACCTCGATCAGAAAGTCCCCCGTGCGCAGCCCCGCTCTCCAAGCGACTCCTTCCACGTCCACTGATTCCAGGTACTGGAGCGCTGGGAAGGCCGGGGTGGGGGTGAACTCCTCGATCGGGGTTTCAGCTGCAAAACACAAAGGCAGGGAGGGGTTGAGGGGGTGGCCAAGAAAGTCCCTGTGTTGGTTCAGACGCGTTCGGTGCCCGTCCACGGCATTCCCAGCCAGGGGATCATCTGGGATGGAAAAGCCCATGAGACCACGGAGTCCAACCGTCCCAGCACTGCCAAGGCCACCACTGACCATGTCCCCAAGTGCCACATCCACAGGGCTTGGAAATCCCTCCAGGGATGGGGACTCCACCCTGTGCCAGGGCTGGAAAACCCTTTCCAGGAAGGAATTTTTCCCAATATCCAACCTGACCCTCCCCTGGCACAGCCTGAGGCCGTTCCCCCTCCTCCTGTCCCTTGTTCCCTGGGAGCAGAGCCCGAACCCCCCCGGCTCCCCCCTCCTGGCAGGGACTTGCAGAGCCAGAAGGTCCCCCCTGAGCCTCCTTTGCGCTGGGTCATCAGGCCCAGACAAGTTCTCATGCCCCTGAATTATCCCAAAAATGCATTTTAAGAGCTGTGTCAACCCCCTGATGAATCACAGAGCCCATGGATGGCCTTGGAGTGCATCTCCTTTGATGTCAGGTCACTCCAGCCAACGTCACCCACACTCTCCTCCATTTCAGAGTCTGTAGACCCTGATTTCACGCACACAAAGACAATTCCTCCTTTATTCTTTATTTACATATTTTAGGCAAGATTTTTTGCACTCCATGGGCCAGCACCACCCCAAGACCAACTTCTCCTGACAGGATGTTAATGTGCTGAACGATCTCAGATGCTTTTTCACCAACAGCTTTCCACGACTCCTCCCCTTCCACGGGAGCCAAGCGGCGAAGAGCTGACAAGTCACCCTCCCTATTTTTAGAAATGCCAACGGAATGTTCGATTCCCGAGGGACCTCCCCGGTGATAAATTCAACCCCCTGGCCCAGCGTTGACCGGCAAGTTCTCTGAGTGCTCTGGAGTTCAAAGAACCACCGGGATTTGGTGCAAAATCTGGCCCCTTAGGCCAGACCCGAGTGGAGAAGGGTGTGAGGTGCGGGGTGAGAAAAAGACCTGGAGGGCTGAAAACCAGAAAAGGGGAGGCTGGAACGCTGTGAATGTCAAGTAAATTATTTCCATAATGCTAATGAGACATATGGTCTCTGTGGAAAAGCAGCACGAGGCGGGACCCGGCGCTGCCCTCCCGGATCACACGCGCCCGAATTAAGCCACGGAAATGTTAAAGTCAAATCCTGATCCCTGGGGAGGGTGGAGTTGGACAGATGACAATTTAATTGGTTTGCCAGCCGGGAGAAGGAGACTGATGTGAGCAAACTGTGTTATCACAGTGGCTGCTCCCCCCCTCCCCCGCTGCATTTCCCAATGGAAAAATCCTAAAGCAGACCAAAATCCTAAAATCCTACCTCAGCCACCAAGGATGCTCTTGGGAATCATGGAATCCCAGAATGGTTTGGGTGGAAGGGACATTAATGTCCATCCAGTGCCACCCCCTGCCATGGGCAGGGACACCTTCCACCAGCCCAGGTTGCTCCAATCCCCGTCCAACCTGGCCTTGGACACTTCCAGGGATCCAGGGGCAGCCACAGATGGTCTGGGAAATTCATCCCTTGCCACCCTGCCATCCATGAATTCCTTCCCAATAGCCCATCTGACCCTGCCCTCTGGCACTGGGAAGCCATTCCCTGTGTGCTGTCCCTCCATGCCTTGTCCCCAGTCCCTCTCCAGCTCTCCTGGAGCCCCTTCAGGCCCTGCCAGGGGCTCTCAGCTCTCCCTGGAGCCTTCTCTTGTCCAGGGGAACCCCCCCAGCTCTCCCAGCCTGGCTCCAGAGCAGAGGGGCTCCAGCCCTGGCAGCACCTTGGGAA